TCTGAAATGCAAGATGTTCTGGACCCATGTTAGAAAGTTCTGAGACAAAAGGAATAGTGATCTAAAGCCCTGTGCTAGCCAAAGTGGTATTTAAATGTAAGGATGAAATAATGACATTAGGAACCGAAATCAAACTTCTGTAAGAATAATCTCAGTGTTGAAATATAGGAAGAATTTTAATTAAAACCAGCTAGAAAATTAAAATATTATCACCAATAGTTTCCATTATAGGTACATTTATATGGAATGACATAATATAATTAAACCAAATAAACAATGCAAAGGCAGAGATAAAGCTAGCAATTTTCATGGATATTACTGCCTAAGAAAAATTCCAAGATAACTAATTAAACAGCCACTAGAACTAATAAAGACCTTAATAAGCAAATGTACACCAGATAGACATGTAAACATTAATAATTTCTGTATATTTGCAGGATCCAATTAGAAATTTTAATGGAATTTGAGATCTCATTAGAAGTAGAAAACAATGCTAATAAGCTTAGCAAATACTAAGTAAGAGTTTTAAGAAGGAAACTGTGAAAATTAAGTAGAAGAAAGATTTAAATAAATGGAAAGATATATGATGTATAGTATAAAGATAGCCAATTGATGATATCAGTTTTATTCAAATTAATTTATAAGCACATTCTATTCCAAGTCAAAATTCACCTTTATCCTCAACTCTCACCAACCTCCCACAACTTTAGAGAAGTTGAAAAAATGACTCTACTTCTTTGAAAAGCATACAAATAAATGAGAGTTGTGAAAAATAAAAGAGAACATCGTAACATTAACATCAATGCTATAAAGTAATAGTAATTAGAATAATGTGGTGTTAGTGAAAGAATGAACAAACTGAGTGATGAAGTAGAATCAAGCAGGTGTAAAGAAACTTTAAAAAAATAAAGCTTCACATTGGGTCAAATCTTAGGAAAAAGAAACAAGCAAAATTTTGTAGAAGCATAAGCATAGCATAAAAACTGACAAAGCATGGCTACTCGTAAGTGGGAAAGGCCTCTAAAAGTCATAAAGCAAACAACAAATTATGTGAAAATAGGTGAGATATATAAATGGGTAAATCAAAGAAAACTGAAATCCAAGATAGCATACTCAACAGGGCAGTCTCCCACTCCATCTTACTTTGGTCTCTAATAATTGGGAAAACACAAATTTAAGCCCTGTGAAATAATGAACTGCAGCTTTAGGATGGAAGCACCGGATCCCCAAGGAAAGAAAGATCCAGTGCCCAGTCTCCCAGATGCAATGGCAGCATCTTCCCGTCTCACTGAAGGGTCTTCTTGATTCCACCTGAGTCACTTTCACCATTTATGGTTGAGGTGCATTAGCCTAGCAACGAGTCCCTGACCACTGCACCTCCTAAAAGTCTGTCGTTATCTCCTCTACCTGAAATGCCCTGCTCCTCTGCCTCATCTGGAAATATTCTCTGTTTCTTCCATTTTCAGCTCAGGTGCTCTCTTCTAGGGTATCTTCCTTGCCTTCTGAGAAGAGATAAGGTCCACTCTTCAGGCCCTCATTTTTTTATGTATCAGCTATGGTATCACCACCTCTTGATTGGTTTTTATCATTCTGGGTCTATATCTCCCCAAAGACTGTAAGCTCTTAAGGACTAAGACTGTCATTTATTTCTCTGGGACTGGCACATAGTAAACTTCATGAATCTTTTTAAATGAATGGTGAATATTTGTTTTAAGATACCTCCCCTTGGTTTTTATGCATAATTTATAAATTGATTCTACAGTCTTTAATAGATACATTCTGGCTAAAACCAAAATCATACATTTTAAAATATTATAGGATATCTTCAGAATTCACTAATTTCATTTTTAAACTTTTCATCTTCCTATGGAGAACCTTCTTCAGGGGAAAAAAAATCTTGTAAAATGTATGGATTTTGGTGTTCCACAAATTCAAGATTTAAAATAGGATGTGCTCTGTCTACATAAAAAAGAGTATATTTTACTGAAAATATTTTACATGTGCTACATTTCCTATGTTTGCAACATTTACTTGAGAATATTCTGCTATAATTTCAAGTGCTGGAAAGAAACTGATAATTAGAAATGCTGTCCTACGTGTCAGAGATACTTCTCCTAGGATGCCTGTCTTATTAGTCTGCCGTATTTTAAAAGGCTAATGAATTTTCTTTTGATGACCAGACTCTTCTATAACTTGTGCCCTTAGATCTCAGCTGGAGAGATAGTAAAAGTAGAAAGAGAGGATGGAACTACAGTAAGTTCTGTTCCCTGCATTGTCTCTTATCACCAATATTTATGACACTGACTGAGTCATCTAAATGGATTAGAGAAGTAATTAGGATATTGACAGGCAGAAACAGTGGACTGGAGTGAACCTATGATTTATCTTGTTAAGTAACAGGAAAAGCAAGTGCTTTTCTCAGAGACATTGAAAGCAAAGGAGCAGCTCTATAATCCAAACAATCCTAAAATGTAATTGCACAAATGTAAAAACAAACAAAATTCTAGGTCTCTGAAATTATCTTCTAGATCTGAATGAATTAAAATATGTGCATTCATCTTAAGATTAAGTGATTAGCAATATTGTTTTATACACAGAATAGTGAATTATATCTAATTACCTGACAATGCATATTGCTTAGCAATTTCCAGCTATTGGTTTTACAAATTTTGGCTCAATGTTGATTTAACTATAATTTATCTCCATTTATACTTTTATGAGAGATATGCTATACTTTTAAAAAAGACTTTTTTTTTTTTTTTTTTGTACCAGGGATCAAACTTGGGACCTTGTGCTTGTGAGGCAGGCACTAGAACCACTGAGCTAAATCCCTGGCCCAAAAAAGACATTTTCCATTACAGCTACTTCATATTTTTGACAGTGTATTTCTTCTACCTTGATATTTGACAAAACATACATTGAAAAGACAATTAATGGTCTAATTCAATGCAATCGATAAATTATAAAAAGAGTGGCAAGCCTCTAGCTCAGTCATCTCATTTTACACCGAGGAAGCTGGGGCCCAGGAAGGGTAAGGGATTCACCCAAGTTTCCCAGCAATTAGTGGAAAGTAGGTCATGAGCTCAATTCTCCTCTCTGCCAGCTTGAGGCATTTCTACCAGGTGACTGTGTCTTTCTCCCAGTCTTTGTTTCCATTTCTCCAAAATGATTCTCTCCCTGAATACGCAATTTCTACTACCCCTCATCTTCCCTTTAAAAGTTAAGCAAATCAATTCCCTTTGCATATCAGTATGATCATAACTTTTTAGAATTTAGAGGGGGGGAAGTACAAGGGGATGCACAGAAATTCATACACAGCAATTATCTCACTATTATATGGAAGACAAGTGCTCTCTGGTTTTATGGGATGCAGCTTTAATGCCTATCTTCCGCTTAAACAGCAGATGGGTTGTAAGCCTTTGCTTAATCATTAAATACCCTATTTTAAATATTTATTGTGTTATAGTCCAATTTCTTATTTATTAAAGGAAATATTTCTTACATACTGTATTATTTACATGACCAGGAAGGAGTTAGCCACTAATGAGATGAGCCTGAAAACCTGGGCCCATATCTTATGCTGCTGTTTGGTAGCCCCGTGGTTTATGCATCACCTAATCTCTCTAATCCCTAATTTCCCCTCTGAAAAGTGAGAATATTATTACCACTCTCTCTCTCTCTCTCTCTCTCTCTCCTTAAATAGAAAAGCTTCACACTTGTTTTATTTTACTGTCATATTGCTAGATAATAATAAGAGATACAACATTAAAAATTTCTATTTATCTGGAATTGCTTTAAGCACATCAATACTGTCAACAGTTCTACGGAGTGGTGCTAGCATTTTACAGATGAACTGACAGGCAGAGAACCAGTCACTTAGGTATCACTGGGCTTTAAACATCACAGTCTTTTAAGAAAGATAAATATTATCCTATACTATTGGGGGTGGGAAACAATACAGAGTTTAAAATGAAAGCATTAACACAACTGTGATAGACAGTGACACGCTCATTTATTCCTGTTGTTTTCTTCCCTACCTGGCACAGACAATGAAATATCTACCTACTGGCAAATTAATCCCTGCTAAACATAGGCTTCCAAGTTACCTTTTTAGAATCACACTGTTTGGTCCTTCCTGCCACTTAGGAACTAGTTGTATGTTATATTTATTTTAATGCCAATTGTCTTATTCTATCAACTGTCTTATAGTTGTGCTATATTGCTATCTTCCCAAAAGATTTAAAAGCATCATAACACAGTGATACATGCCCACCCATGTTTATAGCGGCATAGTTTGTAATAGCTAAATCTTGAAAATAGCCCAATTCCCCATCAACTGGTGAGTGGATAAAGAAGATGTGGCTTTTTTTTTTTTTAATAAAATGGAGTACTTCACAGCCATAAAGAATTATAAACTAGAGGCATTTATAGCTATATGGATGCACATTGAGGCCATACTCGAGTGAAATAAATAGGACACACATGTGTAGATACCAAATAGTTTCTCTGGTGTGAGAAATTGCAAGAGTAAATGAGGACCAAAATGTATAATAACTAATGTAAAACAGGAAAAAAAAGAAAAAGTCCAAAAGGGAAGGGGAAGTAGGGAGGGGGTGGGGGAAAGGAAAGAAGGAAGGAAAAAATGGAAACACATGTAAATAGGGAGGGATGGAGGGGTTGAAGAGAAGGAAAGGGAATGGGGAAAAAAGAAGAGCCCAGATACATCATGTACAGGTACAAATTCCCAATGACGAATGTGATCATAATGTATACCTAAACTGTACCAATAAACTTAATGGAATAAAAAAGCACACTATTATTATACTCCTGCCATACTCTATCCAGTAAGCTAGAGGTTTAGACAAGTTAAATACAACTATTGCTGAAGAAAATTCAGAACCTAAGAGGAAAGATAGAAAATAAATAAGTTCAAAGACCAGTCATAGGTAGATAGATAAATATACATAGATAAGGAAAAAGGGATTGTTGTTTTATTTTTAAAGTCATTGTTTTTATTGAACCATTTAACAGCAAACTGATAATGATGTCTAGAAATACTCTAGTAACAAGTGGATAAAAAGGAATAGATAAGTGAAACAATAATGATGCAATTTTGATAATTACTAAGGCTGGGTGTGCAGGACATGGGCCTTCATGATACTGTTGTCTCTAATTTTGTGCATTGTTGAAATTTTCCATAAACTATTTGAAAAATGTACCAGCCATATCAGCATAGTTGGCACTGGCTGAGTACTTACAATGTGGTAGGTACTAGACGCTTTTTTTCTGTGATAACTCATTCAACTCTCAAAAACACCAGTGAGGTAGCAACTATGATCATGCACATTTTCCAGGTGAATAAACTGACACAGAGGAATCTGGTAACTTGACCAGGTTCAGGGAACTAGTGACCAGTGTAGCTGAGCAGTCTGACTCTAGGTTTTATTTGTTTAAACACAACATTATGCTGTATTTCAGCATAGGGTAATTATAACATATTGTATAATGATAGTTATCTACTACTTTCAGATATGCTAAGTAATTTACATAGAGTATTTCTCTTAATATCTTCCAAAAAAAGAGGATGTAAGCCTTAGGGATCCATTCAGCAATGGTGTGGGTCAGTAGGCTGAGCTTCCGTTACCAAAAGGCTGTCTTCCGGAGGCAGTGGGAATCATGGCAGAGGTGCCAGAGTGAGGTGTGTTCAGACAGCTTGCCATGGAAGTGGGTGGGTCACAAAACTGTAGGTTTGACAGCTGGATAAGGTTGGCTAATTGGGCAGAACATGGACCTGTAGATTCTCATGCCAGACTAAGGAACTGGGCACTGTCCATGAAGTTAGGAATCAGTACCTAGTGTAAGAAAGAAAATGACAATATTAGGGTTAAATTTTAGAAAGGCATTCAAAGGGCCCTGCCTGAAGAGTGTGAGTCAGAGGGGACAGTGTCCTCTACAGAACTGATTCAATTGGTTTGATGAACGGATGCATTATACCCACGGCTATTAATTTTGATAAATTTCACTCGACATTGGGTTATGTCTCTTTTCTCTGAAAAAAAAATCAGCTTCACTTTATCTTCTGCTATTTTTCTGACAGGCACAATTCCACTTAAATGTTATGCTTTCAAACGGCATTAAGTAAATGTAATATACCAAGTAATTTTCTTATTGAAGTCTATTAATTAGAAGAAAAAAATGTCCATAGGTCAAATGTGGAGGTCATCACTGCTCTATGGCTTTGATGGTTCACCTGACTATTAAAAAAATGATTTTGTTTTAGTTGTAGTCTAAAATTTGACTACCCTTCTTATATACAAAGAAAATATGTATTTCCAGGAATGTTTGGAAAGGAGGAAAGCAATTTCAATTGCTTCATCCTTTGGAATTTACTATTTTTCCTGACAGTTTATAGATGTTATTTTTAATGGGCAGCTTCACTGTTACATTAACCTTTCTCCAAAACTCCTGAGTCTGAAAAATTAGATCATATCAGTTAACCCCTTTCCTTATCATTACTGCAATATCTTAAAAAGGATACATGAGCTTGTTGGTGTGAATGAAGGAAAAATAATCTTTTCTCAACAAGCACATGAATATGTTCTAAAACTGTAGCTGACCTGTGCCTGTTCCCTTTATGCATCAAACACCTTTGTCCTTTCCAAATTGCATCTATTTTGATCTTTTGTGTGTTCAACTTGAAAGACTTATTTAATATTTAATATGTATTAGTGATGCTCTAAATTTTACACTGTAGAAAATGTGTCAGCTGACATGCAAGATCTTACTCTTGAAGCTTTTACAATTATCACAATTTTTCTACTTTTATTAAAATATTTAATTGTGAGTGTCTATGGGAAACAGATGAGAACTTGAATGTTGCTGTCAGTATGAATGTTGTTTAATGGAAGAGACAAAATTGGAGGCACATTAGGTTTAGAACAAAGATGTTAAAATGAGAATCTGATCCATCCATAATTCTCCTTACTTTTCTCCTAGTGTCCTTTTGCTTATGTCTCTGGGGACCTACACTGGGCATCCAACTTCTTGAATCACCTATTACTATCTCTTAGATTTTGTGCATACTGTGCTTCTTGCCTAGAATTTCTGTTTGTTCCTTAAAGTTCTGGAGGAATCACATTTCCTTTAGAAAACCATCCTCATCATTTCTAGTTTCTGTGTGATTGCTCCCTCCCCTCACTTCTGCTAAAACTCTTAAGTGAAATTACCATACTTCAGGAAGAACAGGTTGGAAAGAGAAAAGAAGAAAATAACACCAACCTAAGAGCTGAGCTGGGCAGTTCATTCATTCAACAGACATTAAAAGCCATCTCTGCGCTGGGTCCCAGGAATCTAGCAGCGGACATAATAGAAGTTACAGTCTTTACAAAATTACTAATCCAAAATTACTACTAATAGTAGTAATTTACTTGTGTTCTCATATAAAGATCTGCTATGCATAGTGATGACTAGGCATGTTCACATTGTAACAAGCACAGATCCGCTTGCTGCCTTCAATCTCTTTGCTGATACTACTCCAAATTGTTAGGTACAAGGAGGTAACAAACTTGTGCCTAAATAGCAATCAGTGCACTGCTTTCTCCATGGTGATCCATTCTATGTAGAGAAAAATGCCAGTTGAAATTAAGAGCGTGCTTACTGATTCTGGTAACATTTTGCTACCATCTTATCTCATCCTACCAAGGTCTTTGTCTTATCCAGACATGTAACAAACAATATGCATGTGGGTACCCTGTCTGCTGACCTCACCTTTGACTGGATTGCTTTGCCATATGCCCATCCTTGCTGAGAATAGGTTCAGCTCACAAAAGCTGTCATTTAAGTGCACGCATGAAGAAAGACTACATCTTAGCATTCCAGGTTCTGAAGAATCCCAGTTCAAAGTAGACTTCAGGGACAGCACAGATACAAAGGGGAGCTTAGGACAGACCCCAATTGAGATGACTGCTTTAGTCACAGTAGTTACACTCTCCCATCAGTTCCTTTGTGAGAAGAAACTGGAATGTGATCAATATGTATCGTGCACTGCATTAGAGTAGCTCGCTCCCGAACATCATGTGCATACAGATCTCCTGGGGGATCTTGTTAGAAATGCAGACTCTGATTTACTAACTCTGCGGCAGGCCCTAGCTTCTATATTGCTAACTGCAAGGCTCCTGGTCAGTGGGTCACATTGAGAAGGAGGCTATGTGTTCATGGCATTTGCAGCTTGCATCATTAGGCCCAATTTTCTTCTGTTGTTCTCCATATATTCTTTTGCCATTTTCATAAGGACATGTATTAATGATCTTTCCTCCAAATGTCATTTTCAAGATTCTTGTGTTCAGAATTATTAAAAGCTCCTAAGAAATACATGTAGAATCCACTCTTCTCTCTGTCTTGATATCTTATGTTTGTACAGGTGTGATTAGTTATGATTCTTTAGCCAGGTGCTGGGTGCCTTTGCATACAGTTGGTCTGTGTAGGAATAAAGGAGCTGATCATTCCCAGAAAGGTGTACAGATGGTTGCAGAAAGCACAGGAATCTGAAATTGTGTGGGACTTTCAAGGCACAAATAGGGTCTGGGTAAATAGGAGTAAGAGAATCTTTCAATTAATTCCAAACTGCATAAGTGCATATAGATAGAACCTTATTGTAAAGTGTAGATTCCAGTCACTCTGTCAACTTTCCTCATACTGTATATTGATTTCCTATTACTATCTTTCTCTGTCCAGCCAGTGGCACAAAAGCAAATTCATAAAAGTAATGGAGAAAAGGCCAGGGAACTCAAATTCTTTACAACACAGAGAAAAATCTGCATAGCTCTGCTGAGTGACAGAGAGGATCATGCCAAGAAAAGAGGAAGTGGCAAAGCCACTGCCAGGGCATAAAGAAACTACTCATTTCCTAATAGAAGACAGTCAATAAATACACTGGGAAGGTGAATTAACAGAGAGCAGTGGAGATTTAGCTTAACCATTAATCATGGCATGGGGTTAACATTAAGTAAGCTTGAAACTCATCATTCATTCATTCAGCATGACAAGGGTGTGGCACTGGGAAAAGCTCCAAAGCCTACAGTCTATAACTTTTAGTTCAGTGAGTATGAGCTGATAAATAAAAAATACTCCCTGTCCTCAAGTGATCCATACAGACCAGGGATGGCGAACCTTTTAGAGATGAGTGCCCAAATTGCAACCCCAAACCGATTTACTTGCAAAACACCAACACTGCAACTGAACCTGAATACTGAGGTTTCTGTTTGAAGAAAGCAACTCATATATTAACATTTTGTTTTAAAAGAAAAACAAATAGCATACATGCCATAAGTTCAGCACCACTGAATAAGTTAAGGATTAAAATATACAAGAAGTACTATTGGTACCACGCCTGAATTACACAGTCTCTGAACTTCCACGGGAAACTATTGGAATTCTGATCACAAGAAAACCCAGTATCATGTTAGGCAAAGAGGTTTGTCCTTGAGACTGTTATCTTCTGATATAATTTTGGCTTTCTGTAGCACAAAGAAAATGTTTGTTCTCCTCAGGATAGTTTTTTTTTTTTTAATAGTTGAGCCTGGCTCTCATAATTAATTACTTATTTCTTTTTTTCATGGAATAATCAAAAGACATATTACTTATCTTATCAATGCAGTTTATAACAAATGCATTTAGCCTAATAAAGTCCCTGGTTTATAAATGAGAAAGTGGGGTCAGGGAAGAAGGGGGAACTGGGAGGAGTTTGAAAGAGTAAAATTTATTTATACTTTCTTCAGTGAGATGCTGATGAAAGAGGGTATAGCATAGCAAAGAGACTACTTGTAGGCATTTTGGTTTTGGCCAGCTGGATGAACTGGGAAAGAAAACAAATTAGTTATTTATGGATTTTTCAGAACTTTTGAGTGTTTTCTTGGGAAGTGTGCCTGGCATGCTGTTCTCTGCCTTGGTTCATTGTTTGTGTCTCCTTCTTAGCTACACCAGCTCTTCATCATGTTCCTCACTTGACCTCCTCATGCACAAAATGCTTTCTATATTCCAGATCATTTAGGTGGAGCTATCTTTTGAGCTTATTCTTGAGCAAATTAATAGACAATATTGGCCTGATAACTCTCCATGGTAACCAAAAAGATTTAAAAAATAATTGGGTATATTTAGGCCAATTTAGCATTCAAAATTAATTACAGATTTGGGAATGATACTTTTTAAAGCAACTACATCAGGTAATTAAATTCTTTTTTTTCAAAAAAAAAGTAAATCACATCCATTTTTTCCGTCTTTGTGCTTTTCAAAAATAAAATTCTAGGGCCGGGGATTTAGCTCAGTGGCACCATGCCTCCTCGCAAGCACAAGGTCCTGAGTTTGATCACCGGTACAAAACAAAACAAAACACAAACTAATAAATAAATAAAATGTTAGTCAATACTTTCTTAGTTCTCTTGCAAATATTCAGTTAATTAAGTTAATAGGCAAGGTAAATGTGATGGAGAAAAGTCATTCTAAAAGGTAGCTTGTAATTGTGCTCAAAGTAGCTAAATAAATTAAAACTTGAAAGAAGTACTGTCTAAAAGATGAATCAGAGCACAGTAACTTTTACAATGACACTTAGCAGAAAGGTCAGTCCTCCACAGAACAAATACAAGTGATCAATTTACTAGGGGAACAGAAAATAGCTTTTATGCAAAAGATTGAGTGGGGAAGAGAGAATAAAGGAGGAAAGAAAACAAGATGCTTTATGCCAATTCACACAGCTAGATTTTCAACGAGTAATAAACATTTACTGAGGACCTTCAACAAGAAGAGTCCTGTGCTAGGGCCTCAAATGCTTTTCAAATGCTCTGCTCCTCAAGGCGTGGCTTGAAATATTAGCATCACCCAGAAGGTTTTGGTAAATGAATCTAAATCTGCATTTTAATATGGCCCCAAATGTTATGACTATTATTCATATGTAAGTTAAAGTTTCAGAATACTCCTCTAATGCAAACAGGAGATCAGTATTTCCTAAACAGATGTCATGACATGCTAAATTACTTCTGGGAATCACTATTCTAACATAGATCCCAGGAGATTCTTATGATCAGACAAGTCTGGTAAATATTGAACTAAAATATCTGTACAAACACAGATGGGCTGAAGATGAAGAGCTTCCCTTCTAATACCTTTGTAATTTATGATTTGCACTTATTTATTCAGCATATTGACATAGATTTTATTTTTAATAAATATATTTACTTTGTTCCGAAGTCAGAAGTTCTAAAACTGGATTTTGGTTTTGTTTGTTTGTGACAGACTCTCACTTTGTAGTGTAGGCTTTCCTTGAGCTCCCTATGTAGCCCAGGGTTGGCCTTGAACTCATAGTGATCCTCCTGCCTAAACTGCTGGAGTGCTGAGGTTACAGGCATGCATCACCACACCCAGTTTAAAACTTCGTTTTTTAGCCATGGAAACCTGTGTTCAAATAAAATATTTTTTAACTTAAAAGAACATTTTGATCTTTAAAAATCTTTTTTTAAATTTTGAAAATAGTGTGATTTAAAAACCTGAGTGTATTCTTAAAGTATCATATCGTTCAGTATAAAAATTTTTTAAATGTATTGTAATCCAGTGTAGACAATGTATCTAAAAGTGTACCTTGACTTAGTACAACTGTCTCATGTGTAATATATATTCTTTGGCCTATTACTCTGGTTTTCAATTTGTGTATGTGATAATTAATTTTATAAGGTCTTATAAGATAAATAAATGAATCTGATGCTGGAGAAAAAAGGGGAGTGGAGGAAGGGGGTAAAGAAGGGAATTGAAATGTGTTTTATACATGTACCAATCCCAACAGTGACTGTAATCATTATGTACTGCAAACATGTACTAGTAAAAGTATACATATATACATATATATATATATACAACCCCGTGATTACATATTAATATTCTGACTTTTTTCCTTCAGACCTTTTTTCTTTGCATTATTATGTTTCCTATATAGAATACATCAAAATAACACAGTATGACATGTATGAATTTATCAATCATAATGTAATGAACACCTGTGTGTCTAATCTAACTTACACACTTCTCCTCCACCTGTTAAGGTAAACAACATACCAAATTTTGAGTCTTTCACATCTTTGCTTTAAAAAATAAGAATGGTTTTATAAATTATAAAAAATCACACCCAATTATTAATTGCAGAGAACCTCTATCAGCAAAAATTTTTCTTTTTTTAAATTTATGTATATTTATTGGTACATTTTAGGTATAAAATACATTTACATTTATCATTAGGTGTTTGTACCAGAACATGATGTATCTTAGTTCTTATTTTTTTCTCCCATTACCTGTGCACCCTTCACCCC